TCCCTGGAGAAGGATGTCATGCTTGGTAGGGTGGAGGGTCAACGAAAGAGGGGGAGGCCTTCAATGAGATGGATTGACATAGTGGCTATGATGATGGGCTCAAGTACAGCAGGGATCATGGAGCTGGTGTGGGATCAGGCAGTGTTTCATTCTGCTGTGCATGGGGTCGCTATGAGTTGGAAACGACTCGATGACATCTAACAACAACAACAATATCACCATGATGAGATCTGATTTAATGTAATCACCTCCATAATGAGATCTGCTATGAGCAGCCAATCAGTTGAAAAGGAATTTTCTTGGGGGATTGTCCTGCATCCAATATGGATATTCTGGCAAAGCTCTGCTTTTTGCTTGATCTGGATCCTGCATGTGCCTTTGATACCCAACAAGCACTGGATCCATTGCTTAAAATGATGCAAGATAATAAAGACACACTAAGGTGAAGAGCAAAGGATATGGCCTTTATTAAGTTTGTGCATGAGCTGAAACAGAGAGGAGAATTCCTTCAGGTTTTGTCTGCCTCTAGGTGCTTTCCTAGTTTTCTCTTGTTGTTGTTGTTATGTGCCGTCGAGTCGCCCCCGACTCACAGCGACCCCTCCTTGGGTTTCCGAGGCAGTATCACTACGGAAGTAGGATTGCCCAACCTTCCTTCCGAGGAGTGGCTGGTGGGTTTGAACCGCCAGCTTTCTGGTTAGCAGTCAAGTGCCTTAGGCACTATGCTACCAGAGCTCCTTTCTCTTATAGGGTGAGTATTACATCAGAATCATGTTATACATATAATTTCATATGATTACAGGTTAAGCATGCAAAGTAAGGAATACAAAGATGGCAGTTCATAGCATGTTTCATTATAGTGTTCATTTTTCCCACCACTCATCTGTCAGTTTTTTGTATTGTGATGGCTTGCATGTTGCTGTGAAGTTGGGGGCTATGCTACCAGTATTTCAAATACTGGCAGGTTCACCTATGGTGGACAGGGTTCAGTGGAGTTTCCAAACTAAGACAGACTCAGAAGAAGGAAGGGGCCTTCTACTTCCCAAAGAATTAACCAGTGAAAACCTTATGAACAGCAGTGAAACGCTGTCTGTTACTGGAAAACTTTATGAATAGCCTGAAACACTGTCTGATACAGTGCTGAAAGATGAGCCCCTCAGGTCAGAAGGCACTCAAAATACAACTGGGGAAGAGCTTCCTCCTCAAAGTAGAGTTGCCATTAATGATGTGGGTGGAGTAAAGCTTTTAAGACCTCCATTTACTGATGTGACATGACTCCAAATGGGAAAAATAGCTGCAAATATCCATTAATAATAAGAACATAAAATGTACAAAGTATGAATCTAGGAAAATTAGAAGTCAAAAATGAAATGGAATGCCTAAAGATAAATATGCTAGGCATTAGTGAGCTGAAATGGACTGGTTTTGGCCACTTTGAATCAGACAACCACATCATCTACTATGCCAGGAATTAGAAAATTAAGAGGAATGGCATGGCATTCATTGTCACAAAAAGTGTTTCAAGATCTATCCTGAAGTACAGTGCTGGCAGTGATAGGATAATATCCATACACCTACAAGGAAGACCAGTTAATACTATTATTCAAATTTACACACTACCTACAAAAGCCAAAGATGAGGAAATTGAAGATTCTTACCAGTTCTGCAGTCTGAAATTGACCAAATGTGCAGTCAAGATGTAGTGATTATTACTGGTGATTGAATGTGAAAA